TTTTTTTTTTTAACTCTTAGAGAAAATCTTTGCAATATTTTAAAGCTGAATATATAAAAGATATTTTAAGCTGAACAACATGTACATGTACATGTACCTTTGATTTTCATCGTGTCCCTCTAATCACAGATTTGTAACTTATGGGATATCAGTACTGTCCTGCTTACTAACATTGAAGCTGGTTGTTTAAGCACTCAGTTGTGAGTATCTGGTGAGAAGCCTTGAATAACTAGATAAACAGTGCAGCTGCCAACCTAAAGTAATCTTACACTTAGGGGGTGAGTGGCCCAGGAAACGTACTCTTTGTCATTTTGACTTGGGTTTGAAAATGGACCTGGGCTGCATTCCAGATCAAAGAGCCGTTCACTTCCAAAGACTCCTAAATTGTCCCAAGGAGCTCATTTTGGCAGTGGATTATTTGTGTTTGGCTGGGCATCCTAATAGCAGAAGCTGTCTGCTCTGGCAGGCAAGGGCTATGGCAGCATTTAGAATTACCATCCCCAGTGTTTTTTCTTGATGAGGTTATTTTTCAGAAAAGCAATCCCCCACCCCCTATTTAAAAAGCGACACTGCACAAGTTTTGTGCAGGTGGTTTTCCTGAGCTCATAAATAGTTTCCCATGACAGGATGACCTGTTTTATCGTAGCAGAGGCAAATTTTAAACAAATGATAATCAGTGTCAGATTTCTTCCCAAACCAAAGCTGTCCTAATGGCATATTCACTTCTTCCTGTACCAGAGGTAAGTGACAGTTATTGGTTGACTAGGGCTGAGTGAGAATGTGGGATTTTACAGCAAAAAATAAAGAGTTTCTGCAAGATGTTATTTTAGAGAACATAGAGGGTAGGTACTTAAAGAGTCAATGCTCATTTATCTGCACACAATTATAGATGACTATTGTCTGACACTAGACAAGACTAAGTTTTGGTTACCATAGGTTGGAAGCTAGCATAGTGCCTGACACACTATAGATGTCAAAATGTTACTTGCATGCACAGATGAAGGTCTAACACATAATTAAGTGTTGATTTATTATATGAAATGAGTCCAAAATTAACTATGCAAGATCTGTTATATTTATTTTTATTAATATCTCATTTGTATATATATATATTTTTTTGCATTGCATTGTAGTATCAGTATTACACATATATAATTTAACACAAATGACTAGACATATATTGAAGATGCTTCTTCAAAATAGTTTAACTGATGGAATATATCATCAAACTCCCATTTCACCATATTACTGCCTCATAGTCTCCTATAGGTGTCCATGAAATTTACTTACTTTGACTTTTCAAAGAATCTGGTAGGTATAATATGAATAGACTTCTACCACTGAAGGAATGGAAGAGGAAAATGCTAGTGCTAAGTGCCAGATGTTATGTCTTGTATATTCCTCACAACAACCCTGTGAGGTAGATATCCCCATTTTAAAGATTACAAAACAGAATGAGTTAGGAAGTGTTTCTTCTGTTTTCTAGAACATATTATAGAGAATTGATATCATTTCTTCCTTGTATGGTAGAATTCACCAATGAAACCATGTTGGCCTGTTTAGCAGGTTATTTATTGTTGATTCAGTTTTTTAAAATATAAGTCAGGGTTAGTGGCACATGCCTATAGTCATAGCTTCTCAGAAGGCTGAGGCGGGTGGGTCACTTGAGCCCAGGAGTTTGAGGCCAGCCTGGACAACATAGAGAGACCCTGTCTCTAAAAAATATATATGCCTGTTTAGATTATCTATATCTCCTTGTGTCAGTTTTGGTAATTTGTGTTGTCCAAGGAATTGGTCCATTTCACCTAAATTATCAAATTTGTGGTCATACAGCTCCTCATAATATTCCTTTATTATATTTTTAACCTTCGTGGGATCGAAAGTGATGGTCCATGTTTCATTTCAGATATTAGTAATAATTTCTTTCTTTTCTCTTTTGTCTTAGTTAGCCTGGTTAGGGGTTTATGAATTTTATTAATGTTTTCAAGAACCAGCTTTTTATTTTGCTGATTTTTCTCTACTATTTTTTTATTTTCAGTTTCACAATTTCTGCTCTGATTTATTTCTTTGCTTCTGCATACTTTGGAATTAATTTGATTTTTTTTCCTAGTTTCCTAAAGTGGAAGCTTAGATTATTGATTTTAGATCTTTATTCTTTTCTACTATATGCATTCAGTGCTATACATTTTCGTCTAGACACTGCTTTTGCTGCATCCCACAATTTTTGATAGGTCGTATTTTCATTTTCACTTAGTTCAAAATATTTTCTTATTTCTCTTGAGACCTCTTCTTTGACCCATGTGTTATTAAGAAGTATGTTGTTTAATTTCCAAATATTTTGGAATTTTCCAGCAATCTTTTTGTTATTGATTTCTAGTTTAATTCCACTGTGGCCTGAGAGCAGACATTGTATGATTTCTATTCTTTTAAATTTGTTAAGATGTATTTTATGGCCCAGGATGTGGTTTATCTTGGTAAATGTTAAACATGAGTTTGAGAAAAGTGTGTATTCTGCTGTTGCTGGATGAAGTAGTCCATAGATGTCAATTTTATACAACTGATTGATAGCACTATTCAGTTCAATTATATTCTTACTGATTTTCTGCCTGCTGAATCAGTTACTGGTAAAGTGGTGTTGAAGTCTCCAACTACAATAGTGAATTTGACTTTCTCCTTGCAGTTCTATGAGTTTTTGCCTCATATATTTTGATACTCTGTTGCTAGGCACATATGCATTAAGAATTGTTATTTCTTTTTAGAAACTTGACCCCTTTAACATTGTGTAACATCTCTCTTTATCCCTGATAATTTTCCTTATTCTGAAGTCTGTTTTGTCTGAAATTAATGTAGCTATTTCAGCTTTCTTTTGATTAGTGTTAGCATGGTATATCTTTCTGTATCTCTTTATTTTTACTCTGTGTTTACATTTAAAGAGAGTTTCATGTAGACAACATATAGTTGGGTCTTCTTTTTTTTAATCAAGTCTTTGTATTTTATTGGTGTATTTAAACCATCCACATTTAAAGTGATTATTATTATAGTTGGATTAATATCTAACATATTTGTAACCGTTTTTCCTCCATTGCCCTTGTTCTTTGTTTTGTTTTGTTTTGTCTTCCACTTTTGCAGGCTTCTCTAGTTTTAATTATTTTATATGATTCCATTTTCTTTCCACTCTTGCATATCAATTATACTTCTTTTAAAAAATTTTTTTATTGATTGCTCTAGAGATTGGGATAAACATTTATGACTAATCCAAGTCCACTTTCAAATAGCACTATACTGTTTCATGTGTAATGCAATTGCCTTAGAATATATTATTCCCAATTCTTCCCTCCCATTCCTTATAACATTGCTGTCATTCATTTCCTTTATCCACAATCTATAATTACCAATGACATTGTTATTATTATTTAGAACAAAGATGGTATCTTTTAGGCCAATTAAAAATAAGAAAAATAAAAGGCCGTATTTTACCTTCATTTATTCCTTCTCTTTATTTCTTTACATAGAGCTGAATTTCTAACAGATTATTTTCCTTCTCTCTGAAAACTTATTTTAACTTAACTTGCAAGGCAGGTCTATGTTTTTGAAAATTAAATGAAATATTGTTTTATATATATATATATATTTATAAAGGTAAAGCTATTCAGAGTTCTAGGAATCAGTGTTTATCAGGTTGCCAACATAAAAAATCATTGCTATGCTTCACATAGATGTCTAAACTTTACCCACTGAAATTTAAGAGTGATATGAATTATTTACTATTGCAAAATGTTCCTGAGATATCCTGTGCAACTGTTGCAAAAACTGTGTTGATTTCTGATTACCTCCAGAATTACAATTTGGAACAAGAAAGCAAGAATATGGATGCTCAGCACCACAGGAAAATGATACTTCATTATGTAAAATTCTGTTGCATTTATGCTATCCAAGAGGAAGGATTTTGTTCAAGTTAATTAATTTGTCTTTTATCTAAGCATTTTTGTTGCTCAAATTGTCTTTGCACTCAAAAGCAGTGTCTGTCACAACCCACCATCTTTCATGTCACTTGGGTATGACAAACACAGAGCAACAGATGTGGAGCTTTTCCCTGGGGCTTGAAAAGCATTAGTGATAAAAGCAGATATTTAGGGTTAGAGGCTCTGTTGTACCAGAGTGGAGAGCCAGATCCCTAGTGACAGGGACACTCACATGTCCACATGTTCTTTAATACATTTGGTTTTTCTATGTTTGTAATGTATAGACCCTCTATAGAGCTGGACCCAGGTCCTTTTCTCCTAGGTTTTCTTAAGAGAACAGCAACAAAAATTCAGCCAAAATTACCTCCCTTAAGGATAGGCCTTCTTTCCAAGAAGAAACATACATCTTTATATAGTCTGATCATTTATTAACAGTATTCACTGTTGATTTGGTAGCTTACTTCTTTAATAGCTTTGCCTGTTTAACATGCATGAAAAGCATTCATTTTTATCCTCAAATGCTGCTTCTCAGGTTATACAACAAAAAATGATTTCTCCCTTCCTTCTTCTGAACTCCTTTACCATTCATTTGAATCAACTCTGTGGTACTAAACACAGTCTGCCCTCAATTATAGTTATTTGGGTGTATCACTTTTCCATTGTCATTCATTCAGTCAACAAATATTTATTTTGCACAAAACAAAACACCACCCCATGTGAAATCAAGGTAAAAAATTTAAATTGTGAGCTTCTTGAAGGCAGGTGGAGGTGTCTGATGTTTGCATTGATCAGGGCTGTTTGTGGGTGTCCTCCACAGTTGTTAAAAACTATGTGTCTAAGAAAGCTTCCATCTATCTGACTTTCAACTCATAAAACCTCTAAAACTTACCTGCTAAATTTGTTTTACAGGTATAACAGGAAATTTGAAGTGCAGTTGAATGACATTTGTTTAGCAATTTAACATCATCTAAATAATAATGATAAGAACACAAGATCAGTGTGATCTCTGTGGTAATCTTTGATATTTTTTCCTCCTAGGATTTCCAAACTGTATTACCATCATTTGATCTCTTCTCCAAGTATGGAAAATTATATTCAAAAGCTGGACAAATTGTATAAAGGTATGCATTTTTGCTAAGAAGTACTTCAAAAGTATATTAAATAACATAAAAAATAAAATGAGATTTACATAACTATCAAGCATTTTAAAACCAAGCTATAATAATATTTATACCTAATAAGATTCCATAAATTTCTTTCATTCCAATGTAATGGCTTTTAACATTTAAAAATAATGGATTTTGCTTTTCAAATCTCTTCTCCAAAATGAACCAAAAATACATTAATAAATAGAAATGACAAAAATCTGAAGCACTCTTTAGTTTTAATTAATGCAATAAATAAATAGTATTACATGATACAGTGCAAAAATACTGATGGTGTCCAAAAGCTAGAATACTTCTCAGTAGTCTATTGATACAGTATCATTTAAAATATTATATTCTATAATGTTCATTGTTTGCCATATGAGGTGTCTTAGGAGACACCAAAGAAATAGAGTCTAGGATCTCTGATTATCAAATTTTGCATGATAGATGAGAAAAAGATAACCACACAAAATTCAAGATAACAAAATAAGCTCTCAATGAATGATGTATTTATTTGCTAAGGTGTTTTAGAATAAAGAAGTTGTTATAGTCAAAGTGAGACTCATAGAAGGTATTCTGGCATTTTCAGCCAAATTTGGAGGAGGTGTTGGATGAAGACAGTGAAGATCACTACAGTTGAAGGAAAGAGGCAGGTGTGAGAAATCATGCTAGTTAGAATTCCCCAGCTATCCTCCCACACCAAGAACCAAGGGGAACCAGCATTGAGCCTTTGGAAAGAGCACAGAATAGATTCAAGCAATTTAAGCTCCTTAGATTTAGTGTTAATATCTCCTCTACCCCACTTAACTCCGAGTGCTTCAACTTGGAAGTTAATATGTTAAATGCAGATACTAATGTCTATCTTTTAACTACTTCAAAGGAGTACATAAGGGGAAATATGAAATATTCTCAGCTAATAGAAAAACTTATATCTCCTTCAAAGGTTTATAAAGTATTAATATCATTATCCATTGGAGTATTTACTTGGTATTTGAGAGCCAGTAATAAAGTGGCATCAACAAAATGTTTCATATTTATGTGTAACTTAAGTTTTTAATTTAAAGATGTATCAATCCTGTTTATAATGGTGAAATATTTAAACAACTTGAATACTCATTAATATATGATAAGTTAAATAAATGACATAACACATGTAATGAAATATTATGCAAGCAAAAAATTGTTAACATAGATCTTTACCTATTAGTTTGAAAAATGCCGATAATAGATTCCTAAGAAAAGAAGATTGGATTCAAATCACCTTGTGTAGCCTGATTTCATTAAAAAAAGTGTGTCGGTA